AATACCTGGGTGGGCTGTAGAGCTGCCTTCAGGCTTAACTCTCTTTTCTTGACAGAAAGTGTGAAGGGTGGTGTTTGTCACATTAGCATGGGCAAAGTCATACTTTTAAATCCCAGAATGTAAGAGGTACTCCTAAAAGTGAGTGTTTGAAGCTGCTTCACTGCAGTGCTCTGATTTGCTAAGCACAGGGTAAAAGAAAAGGGGAGCAGCAGTCCCTGTGTTGAGAGAAGTGAATGTCTTAAGAGAATAATATCCGTGCTGAGGGATTCACAGAAATGTAGAAATTCAGTGAACAGCTAATTCCTGACTTCTCAATTGCTGGCTCCCTCTAATGTCATCTTCCCTTGCTGGTTCAAGGTCACTTACAGCTAAATGGCTGTGAATCCCAGGATACCAGGAATACTTATTCGTGTGTGTTGAAAGATTCCTGCCACACGCACAGACACAATCCCTTTGAGATGGTGCCGCTTTTAAGATTGGGCAGGATGATGCTCGAAGACAGGCAATGCTACTTGGGGAGATTTGTCTGTACTGGACTGGCAGGTGAATTGGGAGGGAGGCTGTCTACCAAGACCACCACCTTGAGGAACGTTTTCCCTCTGGCTGAAAGCAAAAAAAAAAAAAAAAAAAAAAAAAAGTAGAAAGGTTTTTGGAACCTTTGCAAGAGAAGAGCAACTGTGTGTGGTGTGTCAGGTCTGCTTGGCACAATCTACTGTCTAGAAATTCTTCCTTTTACTTACATTTATGGTCTCTTTATCTTCTAAGTGTGAAATGAATTCTCTGCCACCCTCCTTTCCTTGCTCCGCTGTGGTAGGAGAGGAGAGGAAAGAATGATACATATTATTGGAGTGCACTCGAGATTTTGCCATCCATTTAGGTAAATGCACAATGGTGCAAAATCTCTCGAGTCTTTTGGAAAAGTTAAGAAAGAAAACTAACAGTGACCTGTTCCTCATTCTACATGTATACTGGTCATGTGCAAATGTTGTTCAGGAATATGCTTGTGTTATTCATTGTTAGCAAATGGGGAAGGAGAGCTGTGGTTAGTATTTGGTTAGAAGTTTTTCTTTGTTTTACAGGATTCAAAACCATGACAACTTTAACTACTTAGGGAGAGGTGTCTTCTCCATCTTTCTTCCCAGTAGCTTCTTTGCGATTTCCCACTGCAGGTTGAGAGGTGCTGCCCGTGTATTGAGTGCAGTACACAGAGCCCTTTCAGCCTGTCCTGAAAGCAGCCTTTTGTGAGTGTTGCCCACTGCTTCCCAGCACCTGTCTTTACTGATTTTCTTTTCAGAAATAATTACAGAGCACACTTGTGAACTCAGCAGAAGGAAAATATTGTATGCAAGTAGATTAGGCGAAAAAAAATTAACAGAGAACAGATTCCTTTAAATATTGGACTTAAACATGCAACAGTAGTGCCACGTGCTTCACCTGTCCCTCTTGCAAAAATAACAAAGTTGTTGTATGGAAGATGGAAATGCCCAACTCAGGTAACAGAGGTTCTGTAGTCCTTTACACTTTTTTGTGTGCGTTTTGTCCCTTAAGGCCGTGTTTTCACTCTGTATCCTGATTTGAGTTTTGCACCTTGCTTGTCATAACAAAAAGGAGAATTGTCATGAATCTCCTTAAATCTGATGAGGATCCTAAGGCTGAGAACTCAGACCTCCCATTAAAAAAAAGCTGGAACCCCTCACGAGGCAGCTGTTGGCAAGCTTGCTGTGCTTGCTGTTTCTTTAAACTATGTCTTTTCAATGAGTTCCTCTGTTTTAGGGAGGCTCACAAGCCTTTTTTCCCAAAGAGAGTCCAAATGAGGCCCAGAGGCAAATTGTTTTTTTTTGTTTTTTTGTTTTTTTGTTTTTTTTTCTGAAATCCTTGAGAAATGGTTCCAGTGCAGTTGTTATAATCCAACAATTAGAGATCTAAACAGAAAGAACTTAAACCCTGGCCTGAGATTTGATGTGAGCTGTACTGAAGCTCCAAATTATGAGCAGGAAGCATGCAGTCACTTGGAGTTCAAGCTCTGCTCTTCTCAAATCATGCCTCACCAATAAATCTAATTATTATTGCCTTGCAGTGAGTCTCACAAACAATGCACTTGGCTGCCTGGTCCACCCACGCTAAGTGAAAGAATATGTGCATTTTAATTATCAGATTATTTCAGTGTTACACAAACACTGTTTCATATTAAATATTTTTACAAACCAATGACATCTGTATTCAATACAGGGTGGATGATGTTTGTTCCCTGCCAATTAATGCCTGTAATGAATATCTGTGTCACACCTTGGTATGTATATTTCTCACCAGTGTCCCCTAAAGCAAGTAACAGTGGGAGTGAGATGTTATTCTTCCTGTAGTCATTCCTTGGCCACCATTTTCATCTACATATAATTTCTGCTGAGTAAAGTTTTCAAGGTGCAATTTTATAGATCTCTTGAATTTTTAAAATGCAGCTGGGGAGGACGGCTTCATGTTGCCAGGTTTCTAAAACCATTTCTGCTGTACATGTTTAATTGCAAACTTTATAAACTTGCCTAAAGTAACGTAGCTTCGTAGATGTTTTGAGAGCAGCATGGAAGGTATAGCTCTGACTTGGTCAATTAGTGTTCAGAAGCTCCACAGCACATGCAGTCAAGTGGCTCTGCGAAGGAGAGGAATTTGGGCATGGCCACAAGGTGGGTGTCTCTGCTGTGCTGCGTTCAGTAGTGGCTGCTTTGTCCTTGCCCCCCAACAGTCTCGTGGCTGTGGCCCAACTTTGAGCAGGCATCTCGCTGCTCTGACCTGTACTTGCACCAGCTGTGATCGCCAGCAGTGCTGCAGCAGCCCCAGGTGCCTCCTGCTCCCTCCTGTGGGGAGCAGAATCCCCCCCATCGATCTGTCCACATCTTCTCAAATCAGTGACACTGGACAGAAGGCGGTCTTGTATACGTCTGGCCTTTTCATTTCACTTTTGTGTGGTGGGATAGCAAGGGCTGGAGGTGTTCAGCTGCATATAGGCTGCCTGGTAAAGTGCATGTTGTCCTCTGGTACTGCTTGGGTTTCTCTAGTCTGCAACACGTGTGGGCCAGAACAGAGGGCAGGAAGATGATGTGCCAGGTTAGGACACTTACATGCTTATGCTAGGGCTTAAAGCACGTTGAGTGGTGGCACTGGGAATACCAGCTCCCTGCAGCACAGGCAGCCTTCTGTAAAGGAGGAAAAAGAAGCCATTAAAACCTGAGACATTACTTGTTCTAAACAAATAGGTGTCAAGAAGGTTCATTCAGAGGGATGCGATCATCTAGTAACAGCAGAGCGCGGTGATGCGTTTCTTGCCCTGCTTCAGGATTGAATTACCCAAGCCTTTATTTCTGAGCGGGGCGAGGTACAGGTTAAGCTCCCATCTCTGTTCCCAGACAGGCATCTTCCTGGCTTCGGACCAGCAGCTGAATGATGTGTTTGGAATTGTAACATAGCAAAATTTCATTACTTGTATTGATGATATCTGCTGCTCCGCATTGGTGGGAGCAGTCTGGAGAATGTAGGGCAAGCTGTTGCTCTTTTGTAGGCTACATTATTTAGGTTACATAGCAGGTAGTCAAGGTTTTCAAGCAGGAGGTTTTGCCTTGTGCTGCTGCGGAGCCTGTGTGTTCTCTTAAAAAGCTCATCTTTGCCTTGTCATGTGCAGGACTGCTGCGCATCGCTTTTTCCCCTTTTTCCAGGCTGCTTTCCAAGCCCATTTTTCTCCGGGCTTTGAATCCTCTAGCAAGAAGTGGACCTTCAGCTCTGCGGAGAGAGGAGGAGGCAGGCTGAGGCAGCCTGCTGCGGCGGGAGGGAGGGGAAGTGCTGATGGCCTGTGGGAGTGTGAAACCGTCCTGCGGGGCTGCCAGCTGCGTGGTGGTAGTGTGTGCTCACAGGAGCTGCGGTGAGGAGGGCCCTCGTGGGCCAGAACCTGAGAGGAATAGTTGTTAGTTAAGCTCTGTGAGCTTATATCGGTGTGTTCACTGCCCTCCTGGGATATAGAGAGGTCGTGACTGCGCAACGTGCTGCTGGGGGTGCATACGAGTGAGAGGCCTGCGTGCCTCTCGGCTGGGAGAAATGGGGCTTTGAGGGGCTCTGGGTCGTGTATGAGGAGAGTTGGAAGCTTCAAAGAAAATGGTTCAGGTGGGTTAGGGTGGGCTAGGAAACCAGCAGGGCTGCCCAAGCCTTCCTTGTCACCAGCATCTCACACCAGAGCATTCCTCACTCCCCATTAAACTGCTGAAATGCAGCCACCATGAATGGCGCTGCTGTAGAAAGCAGTGTTTGTGGAGCACGTGGAATATCCAAAGGGCTGTGTAACGGCTGAGCTTAATGAACACCATTTATTAATGGTAACCTTACACCAGGAAGAGCTCGGTGGGCTTTCTGTCTGCCACATGCTTCTCAGACCACCCGCTGCACAGCGGGTGCGCAGCTCTGCAGCTGCCTGCCCCACCCTTTGCACGGTGGGATCCCAGTTGGGTTCTTGTACATTCGGACCTGGAGAAGACAAAAAGCAGCCTACAGAACAGATCACTTTAGCTACACAAACCTCTGTCTGACAGGTTTTTTTAGTTGGTCTAAAATGTAACGTACAAAAGGATAAGCTCTTCGTGATCTCCTCTAGCTTACTGGAAGATGGCTGCATGCGAGGGGAACTATATGGCAGAGTTGTTGTGAGTTGAAAGGGTAGAGTTAAAATAACCAGCGTGTTGATAGCTGAAGAAGACTGTATCTTGTAACGTGCACAGCCAGGGACGGTTCTTCAGCATACTTCTGAGCGTGGGAAGCGTGTGTTTGTGTGCACATGTGTGTCTGTGTGTGTGGAGGTAGGAGTAAAGTTGCTAACTTGTTGCTGACATGATTTTTTTTTTTTTGTAATTTCATATCACTGTTTTGTACATTTCACTGAAATACCTTGCTTGGGCTCTTAACAGCATTGTCTAATCAGTCTTTTTTTTTTCCTTTCCTGCTCTTTCTCCCCTTCCTCTCTCCAGTCAGCATATGCTGTATCAGTGCTCAAAGAGTGTGCTAAACTGCGACCAGCAGATCCCACCGTTCCTCTTCTGGCTGCCAAGGTCTGCATTGGGTCACTGCACTGGGTAAGCAAGCTGATGCAATTTTTATTATGTAATGTATTCAATGCTGCAGTGACAGTACCATAGGGTAGTTGCAGTGAGAAAGGAAATCCCTGTTTAAAATCACACATGCGTGCACGTTTAAAAGAAAAAAATCCCAGAAAGAAATACTGCAGTAAGTCACTGAAATGAGCTTTGCTGGCCTGTTATAAAAAGGAGGAGGGGAAAACAAATATAATGGTTGTTCTGGGGACTGCCTTTTCAAGTGAGTATCCAGAGTTGAATCTGCCACCCTGGTAGCCCCTGAAAGACAAAAGTTAATAAGTTGGTCTGGCCCTTAGATTGCTAGATATTTGAGGTCTGCTGGATGACTCAATCTTTTGTTCTTGAAGTTCCTGTGTCAGTGTTTTCTGTTCTGGATGTGTTAATGTATGCCCCATTCAGAAGCGGAGTGGGAGTGGAAGTCTGTGCCTGTGAAATTCTGATTATCCCAAGGAGAAGAAACATCTGTCAGTCTTTTACTGCTTGGTTTAATTAATTGAATGGCAGCCTGCTGTTTTCACCTGTCCTCACCACGAGGTGTCCCTACAGTCAGTGAAGGATTATAATTGCTAATACCAGTAAAACAAAGATACAAGAAAGGAAAGCATGAAAGAAAATACCAGAAGAATCTGCTCAGGTTTTGGTGACAAGATGTTCTACCTCTTCCCCAGGCCTCTACAATCCCTGTCTGGTAAAAATTGGTATTGAGCTGAACTTAATTGAGTTGTGTCAGTTCAGGGCCTCCATGAGGGCACCTGGTTATATATGTTTTTGAATGAACTATACTGCTCAAACTGTAATGGTTGAACTCATGTGAGTCAGCAAAAACTAGAAAGCGTCTTGTTTGAGGAAAAAATCTTTCAGGTCTGAGGGCCTTTAGGGAATCCTTGCTACCTAACTTACAGAGCAATTTAGCTCTCTTGTATCCTTATCTCAGTATGTAAATTTTGAGGGCTGAATGTTATTCAGCGACATAAAATATTCACAATGTAAAACAACATTCACAGTAAAGCAAATGCATTTTTCTTCTGATTCTTGGAGATTTTAAAACAGTATGTAAGCTGGACATTACAGCTGTGCTGAAGACTCATTAACATGTCTGAGGTTTTCAGAGCAAAATCAAGCTGTTATTAGCCTAAAAAAGCAATTATATTGATTTTTTTTCCTCTATATAGCTTCTGAAGTTAGAGTTGCTTCATGGGCTTAATTCGTGCATTCCTATAGAGCCATACTAGGGGTCCTGCAGCCTGACATCTTCCTCTAGCAATTCTGCTGTCTCAGTGCTTGTCAGGAGGAAAAAAAAAGCCAGCAGAACAGACATGAAATTTAAGGGAAATCTTTCTGAGATCAGAGTAGGTTTTACTTAGGAGACAACTTTAATATGGGAGATGAACTTGGGATCTCTGTACTGCAAGTGATTCTTCTACTCTTCTGCCTTCCTGCTCTGTGAACACAGATCCAACAAGGTGGGAAGGAAAGCCAACAAGTGCTAGGAAAGCTAAAGTCCACCTGCAGTTGAGTCTGGCCCCATTCAGATGGACCTAATCAGCTGGAGAAGTGGGCCAACACTTCTTAGTAAGTTCAACAAAAGGAAATGCAAAGTCCTGCACTTGGGGAGGAATAATCACATACTGGCATGCCAACTAGCTGGAAAGTGGCTTTGCAGAAAAGGACCAGAGGTTGCCCAGAAAGGCTGTGGAATCTCCTTCTCTGGAGATATTCAAAACCTGCCTGGATGCCATCCTGTGTGATGTGCTCTGGGTAGCCCTGCTTGGCAGGCGAGTTGGCCTGGATGATCTCCAGAAGCCCCTTCCAACCTCAACCATTCTGTGACTTGGGGGTTCTGCTAGACAGGCAGACCAGGAATCAGCAATGTGCCTTTGTGATGAAGACCACCAGCATCTTGGGCTGCATTAGGAAGACAATACTGCTGGCAGGTTGAAGGAAGTGATCCTCCCTTTTACCGAGCCCTGGTGAGACTGCATCTGAAGTCTGGTTCTGGGATCCCCAGTACAGGATGCATGAAGACATACTGGAGTCCAGTGAAAGGCCACAAAAATGAATTCTCACAAAGGGACTGGAGCACTTGAGATGTAAGGAGAAACTGAGAGAGTGGGAGTATTCCACCTTGAGAATGTGGCTCTGGAGGATCTTATTTATCAAAGTATATAATACGTGATGAGGGGAGAGAGAGTAAAGATGATAGATTCTTCTTAGTGGTGGTACCAAGTAACAGGGTGAGTGTTTGGACTACAGGAAATTTGATCTATGCTTTTTTTTTTTTTTTTTATAATTATTTTTACTGTGAAGGTGCTCAGGCAGTGAAACAGGTTGCTCAGAGAGATTGTGGAGTCTCCATACCTGGAGATACTCAGAACTTAAAAATAGCTTCTGAGGTTCAGTTGTTTAACCCTGCTTTGAGAAGGGGAGTGAATGCACCTTGTAAGACTCAGTGCTAGAATCAAGATCCCTGGGATGATCTCCTGTTTAACAGGAGCAGTGCCTTTTAGGGAAGACACTCTACCAGACACTGAGTCACAGGTGTTTTTTGAGGTGAAAGGACCAGGTTTCTGTAATGCAGGAATAGAAGTGTCAGGCTCCTTCTCTTTCATGCGTTACCCTGGTGTTCATGCAGCTCTCACTAGTGAAGACTAAATTTCAAGTGGTGCCATTGAAATCTGCCAACTGTGAGGAAAGAGGAGTTGGATGTCCAGTTATGAGCCCAAACTGAAGATGCTGCTATGGCAGGGAATGGGCAAAGGCAGAATTTGTCCTCCTCATTGTTGCCTCTCAACATTTCTTTGGATTCACAGCTGACACATAAAGAATACTTTGCTATAAGGACATTGAGGAAAGGTGAGACTGCAACAATCACATCTCCATCCTCAGGCAGTTTGGTATCTCTAGATTTCTCATACGTGACAAAAGTGTAAAAGCAACAGTCTAACCCTAATAGCAGAAGAAAGAAGGGAGAAGTGAACTGGTTTTAACTATTTCAGAGTTGTTGTTTTTTTTTTTCCCTGTCACTGCTGCTTTTTCATTGCGATTACGTGAAACACTTCTCGGTGTTTTTGCATCAGAACCAGGTTGCAGTCTGAAATACAAACATAATTTCACAAGATGGTAATCTAGAGTATAGCCTGTGGGTATCTAGAGCATAGCCATATGAACTAAAAACAAATAATATTCTTCTCCCCTCTTCCTTTCACTCAGTGGCCTATGCTGTAACCTGATACCAAACCTTAGTGATACCACAGAATAGTTTTAATTAAGGGGAGACAGAGAGAAAGCTGAGTATCTTTTAAAAGAACTGAAATGATAGGTTTCCACATCTTGCAGTTAAAGGGATGCTTCTGATATTACTGGCAAACTCCTCTGCCTAATAAAGACCTTCCTGCTTAGCAGAGCTGTTTTTCTAAATGTCATCTTTGCAGTAATTATTTGCATTTAAATTACATGGCAATCAAAACAGAATTGAATCATTTAAACTGGAAGTGAACAAGTTGATCAATGCCAGTATAAATAGAAAGAAGGGTAGGCATGGCACTGGAACAGTCTAATGGACAAATATTAACAGTTACAAATACTCAAATGCATCTTGCTTTTCAGAACATATACTTTCCAACTGAAAAATTAATTGTTTTATATCTGTGTACTTGATTGCTAGGTAGGCAGGAAAAGGATGAAATCAGATCACTGTTTATACAAATGAAACAGCTAATTTATATATTGATATCTCCTGGATCTGCCTATTATGTGCTTTTGGTGTATTCAGTTTGTTTATAGTCCATGGACAAGCAGTAGTTTAGTCTTATTTCAGTTACTAGCAATAAAAGAAACCACTAACATCATTTCTGCTGCTGGATAATTGCAGAATGTCATGAGGAACACAGAGCAGTTTCTTTCCTGATTAATCTAATGGTCATTTAACTCATTTTGCCGTCTCTGTACATGGTATCTCCACACACATAAAGAACCAGAAAAAAAACTAATAGCATTGTACCATAGTGATTTACAATGTTGAGAGTGCCCAGATCACATCTAGGAAATAACCTCTCGGTGCAAAACAAATCAAAGCAGAAACGTGTGTGTGTGTGTGTGTTCATACTGGGCCATGCAAATCAATATGTAGCAGAGCCTGATGTGGCAAACAGCTGAATGTCCTCCGCTTCTGTTGTGACAGTATGGCCAGATTATTAGCTGATGTAAATAGGGCCTGCTCCACGGCCATATTACTGGCACCATGCTGGCCTACACCAGCAGATGCTCTGCCCGCTCGGCCACTAGCTTCCAGGCTTTGGCCTGCATTGAGCAGCTGAGTGAAGTAAGGAATATTTTGGTTGCCATTTTCAGAATTACCATTTTTCGCAAATTGAAGGAAAAAAAAACAAAAAGCAGACTGAACAGCAAATCCAAACATCATTAGTTCCAAAGCTTATGCCAGTTGTCTTAGAGGACTAGAGAAGCTCCAGCACAGTGTACCTGTACAGACCACGCTTGTCTGGCCAAGATGCAGCTAGACCCATACTTAACAAAGCTCATGACACACAATTTTCAACAAAGTTGGAACTTTTTAAATTGTATTTAGCACATTACACTGGTGTGTTTTAAAGGTCTTTGTAGTGAGCCCAAAATCACTTTTGAGGCACCATGCTGGCTGGCATTGCGCTTTGCCAGGGTTTCAGCACAAGAGTTTAATGAACTTACATGGGAATGATTATAGCCAGGGAACACAAAGGCCATTTTTTGTTTTGCCAGCTGTCCTTTAGCTTTCCAGAAAGCGCTATGAAATTTTGAACTACTGAAGTTCATTGTCATTTTAAATTTTCATAGGAAAGTTGCTGTAGCTTAAAGGGGAATGTCCATGCTGTAGTTGTCCTGTCTTGGTCCACTGCCAGTTCAGAGTGCCACCTATTAAAAGACTTGCTGCAGTTTCCTCCTTTTAATAGTTATTTTAATAGTACAGTGGTGGTAATTTCACT